AAGTGGCTTACATTTTGACACAACTCAATACTGGATTGAAACACAAACAACAAATTATAAATACATTTAACAGTAAACCATTAGACATAAAAGAATGACACATAAATACAGTGAAAACAACATTTAAAGCAGCAATTAGAACAATCACATGGTCCATAATCTGAGTCCATGAGCCATTCCAGTTACAGTCACATTAATTCTCAGCTGTGTATTGCATTGTAGCTACTCTCCAAACGCCTGGTTCCAAAAGCCAGGATTTTACTTGCTTTCTGAATGCCAGGAGGGAGGAGGCTGATCTCCCATCACTAGAAAGGGAATTCCACAGTCGAGGGACACCACTGAGAAGGCCCTGTCTCTCGTCCCCACCTGTGAGGTGGGACCAATAGCAGGGCCTCCCCAGAAGATCTTAATGTTCAACCTGGTTCATAGGGGAGATGCGTTCGGACAGGTAAGCTGGGCTAGAACCATTCCTCAACATCTTTTTCGCTAAGGGTTCGCACTGAAACTATTGCATTGCTAAATTATATTCACACCTGTACTTTTAATTGGTAAGCATCAGCACTGACCAGGCAGAGAAGCTCTGGGTATCTGGAACAGGGCTGGGCATGCACTGGAGACCAAAGGGCTGTCAACTGCCTTTTGAAGCTTTTGTGCACACTATTTTGGGATTTACGTTTAACTGACTTTCAAGCTAAAAAATAATGCCCAATCTACCCCAAATTAGAATTTCCATCACCAAATCCTATCGGATTTTTTAGCTCAAGTAAGTCTGCCATTAAACTTTCTGGGACAAACTAGGTAGGTTTAAATCCTTACTGACCTATTCCTGAGTCTTACAATTATAGAACATTTTACTGATTGCAATCAATTTTATGGCATAGTTTTTGGTGGAGTATCATGGATTGAAATGGACCTGAGTGCATAAAATTTTATCCCATCATGATACATTTGCTAATCTTTACAGTGCCCCAACATCCAAACATAGATTTTTTGTTGCTGTTATGTCAACTCCAAGGTATGGCAACCTTCTCATAGGGTTTCTTAGCAAAATTTGTTCAATAGAGACTTGTTTTCATCTAAGTCTGAGAAAGTGTTACTTTCTCAAGGTCAACCAGCAAGTTTCCATGGCTTAAGGGGAGTTCAAACCCTGGCGTCCCCAAATCCAACAATCCTGTCCATCAACAGCTACCTCTCTGGCAATTGGTGCTCATAAAGTTTCACAATACTTGATTCTTAATGCATTATTTGAGACAAGGAAACGTATTTATGGATTGCCATCTTAAGCAAGATCTATTCAAATGAAAAAAAGCAAAGTATATATGGGTTTCAATGGCTTCTCTGTGTAGTCTGACGTGGTGGTTGTTAGAGTGGTCCAGCATTTCTGTGTTCTCAAATAATATGCTGTGTCCAGGTTGGTTCATCAGATGCTCTGTTATGGTTGACTTCTCTGGTTGAATTAGTCTTTAATGTTCCTTGAATCGTGTTTGGGCTATGCTGCATTTGGTGGTCCCTTCGTAAACTTGTCCACAGTTGCATGCTATACATTAGACTCCTGCAGTGGTGAGAGAATCCTTTGGTGAACATAGCATTTGTTGGATTTTCTTAGTGGATCTGTAGACAGTTTGTAGGGTGTGTTTCTTCATCAGCTTCCCTAAGTGGTCAGTGGTTTCCTTGATGAATTGTAAGAACCCTTTTCCTCTGGGTGGATCTTTGTCTTGGGTATCAAAAGAGCTGTAAGATCAAGAACATGAACTAAATCTGGCTACCAATTTTAAACAACTCCAAAATCAGGACAATAAATAAAGAACAACACTCAAAACGGGAATTCCAGACAGGAAACAATCAGGGCCAGCTAACACTTCCCAATAAAAGATCACCCAGGCAGGAAGCAGCCAGGCTTTGAAGCTGCAAGGCCATTCATTGTTAATCAAGGTGGCCATTTGCAACATTCACACTTGCCTCAAGCAGACAAGAGTTTTTTCTCCCACCCTGGACATTCCACTTACCTAGATTCCAACAGACCTCACAACTTCTGATTATGCCTGCCATAGATGTGGGCGAAACGTCAGGAGAGAATGCTTCTGGGACATGGCCATACAGCTTGGAAAACTCACAGCAACCCAGTGATTCTGGCCATGAAGGCGTTCAACAACACAAAGTATATATAATTGTGGAATTGGTGCCCTGTAAGGCATTTTGTGATCTCTCCATGTTTTTGCATAGAAATACAATTGTGGAGTACAACATTATCTTAAAGTTACTCTAGGATTATCTCGTTTTAAGTTATGTTTCTCTCTACCTCCTACTTCCGCAGACTGACATAGTTACAGATAACGAATGTGAGGGCCAGCAGTTTCTTGCAGCTCAAGACGTCAAAATGAACAATTCCTTTTCTGAAGAGTCAACAAAGATTTTGAATGGCACAATTAAAGGTGATGCTGTACTGTTTCACAATTCTGAAAAAGGAGGTCAAAGCACAAAGTGTGCACCCCAACATCCTGCTCTAACAAGTCCAGAAGTTACATCAAAGGTCCATGGGAACACAGTCCAGTGGGGAGAAGGTATGTCCGGCGTAAACACCATGATGCAATTGGTCCAGTTGTTAGGAAACAGGGCTGGAGCAGGAGAATCTTTGAACTGATTTGATAGGGCAGGTCAATACGTTCAGCACTCCTTGGGGCACTCTTCCTCTATCTAGTACTCTGCATGTATTTGACTACAATTTTCATCATCCACAGGATGATGGAGGGTGGAATCACAACTGGAAGGCACTAAATCCAGAAAAGCTGTGTGGAGGAATAAATCCTTACTTGTCCTTTTCTTTTCTGCAAGAATTTATTTCCGTGTTGTATTTGACTTTTGACAATTTTCTAAACAAGCTTAAATTTAATTTTATTCTTTGCTATATAGCCAAGCTTTGGAAAGTTACTTTTACTGAATTCCCAGAACATGCCAGCTAACCATGACCACTAAATCTTTTTAAAGAGGTAAATAGAGTCCAAACTAGATTGATAATTCAACATTTAGGTGTATCCCATTGGTCCATTGAGTCCTTTGTTAGCAGGGACAAGTGGTGGCATCCAGTACTTTCTGTAGTCTGTGATTCTTCATATCAGAGATGATTTTTGAAATGGTTTAAATTTTGTTTTAAACTTTCGAATGTAAAAAGGTAAAGCTTTCCCCTTGACATTAAGTCTAGTTGTGTCCGACTCTGAGGGGTGGTGCTCATCTCCGTTTCTAAACCGAAGAGTAGGTATTGTCCATAGACACCTCCAAGTTCATGTGGCCAGCATGACTGCATGGAGTGCTGTTACCTTCCCGCAGAAGTGGTACCTATTGATCTACTCACATTTGCATGTTTTTGAACTGCTAGTTTGGCAGAAGCTGGGGCTGACAGCAGGAGCTCACCCCAACTCCCTGGATTCGAACTGCCGAATTTTCCGTTAGCCAATTCAGCAGCTCAGTGGTTTAACCCATTGCACAACCAGGGGGTCCCTTTATTTATAAACTGTTTTATATTTTACTTTTGTTTCCCTATTTCATTATGAATGAAACAGTATATATACACTGAACCATCAGAAAGCAAAGGTGTCACTGGCCCCATGTACACTGCCATTATTTTATTTTATTGTTTTGTATTATTTGCTGTTATTACTTTTATTATTGATGTATTGTGGGCTCGGCCTCATGTAAGCTGCACCGAGTCCCTTGGGAGATGGTAGCGGGGTATAAATAAAGTTTTATTTATTATTATTATATTTTTATAATGCAGATTGAACTGCCTTATATGGTCAGTGTCCAGTGGTTCTTAACCTGTGGGTCTTCAGATGTTTTGGCCTCCAACTCCCAGAAGTCCTAAAGCTGGTAAACTGGCTAGGATTTTTGTGAGTTGTAGGCCAAAACACCTGGGGACCCACAGGTTGAGAACCATTAGTGTAGACTCATATAATCCACTTCAATGAATTTAAACTGGATTATATGAGTCTACTTGTTGATCGAATGGTTGCAGGTTCGATTCCGGGGAGTGGCGTGAGCTTCTGCTGATAGCCCCAGCTTCTGCCAACCTAGCAGTTCGAAAACATGCAAATGTGAGTAGATCAATAGGTACCGCTCCGGCGGGAAGGTAACGCGCTCCATGCAGTCATGCCAGCCACATGACCTTGGAGGTGTCTATGGACAACGCCGGCTCTTCGGCTTAGAAATGGAGATGAGCACCACATCCCAGAGTCAGACACGACTGGACTTAATGTCAGGGGAACACATTTACCTTTACCTATATGAGTCTCCTCTGACCATATAATACAGTTCAATCTGCATTATAATGGCAGTGTAGAGTGGGCCACTGTTTCAGCCAGCCATGTGCACAATTTTGTAATTCCTGTGATTTTGGAATTCCTTATGGCCTATTTGACATAAAAGGAGTAGAAATTGGGGAATATTTGACATATTTTAAAATTGTGTTTTTCTAGGGAACTTGCCACAGCATTGCCGCTTTTGCACATTCACTTCTTCCAGCATCACAGGCCTGAATCGTCACATGAAAAGACACTCAGATAAGAAGCCCCACATGTGCCACCTCTGCCTTAAGGTCTGCCACACAGTTTCCCTTTTGCGCAACCATATGAACACACATACAGGTATGAGTGGTGTGCATTTGTTTTGTTGGTTATCTTCATCACTTTATAACAAATGTTATCAGTGCCCCCCCCCTGGTGGCGCAGTGGGTTAAAGCACTGAGCTGCTGAGCTTGTTGACCAAAAGGTCGCAGGTTCGATTCCAGGGAGCGGCGTGAGCTTCCGCTGTCAGCCCTAGCTTCTGCCAACCTAGCAGTTCGAAAACATGCAAATGTGAGTAGATCAATAGGTACCGCTCCGGCGGGAAGGTAACGGCGCTCCATGCGGTCATGCTGGCCACATGACCTTGGAGGTGTCTATGGACAACGCTGGCTCTTCGGCTTAGAAATGGAGATGAGCACCACGCCCCAGAGTCAGTCATCACTGGACTTAATGTCAGGGGACAACCTTTACCTTTTTATCAGTATGAATACTGGAATACCTAATCTCTTGATTTTTGATTGCAAAAAATGTGAGTGGGCTGGTTTTAGGAATGGGTTTCACATGTGAAGGTTGTAGAAATGTTGATGGGTTGTGTTAGCCAAGCCAAACACTGTGGCCTATTTCACGGAGTCCTTTAGCCATCCCATAAGAGAGCACATCCATAACATGCACCATTGCGGCACTGTCTTGGCTCATTGCATTCACACTAAAATTGGCCTGCCACATTTGTGGGTTTAACTTTTTCAAATTTGATTATTCATAGAATTGATTAATATGTTTTCTGAGACAATTGTCCTCTAAGAGAGAACATCTCTGTGTATGTGTTTTTCTTGCAGGGACCAAGCCATATAAGTGCAGCGAATGTGAGATGGCCTTTGTGACTGGGGGTGAACTTTCACGGCACCGGCGGTATAAGCACACCCTTGAGAAACCTTTTAAGTGCACACTCTGTAACTATTCTAGTGTGGAGGTAAGTACAGCATTCACAACAAAATTAGTTTTCATATTATATGTGTGTAATCTCTCTATCTCCAGACAGAAAAATGGAGGATTTTTTAAAGAGACGCTCTTTTATTTGGAACACCCTTTATTTGAAACATTTAGTCATTCCTGGTTAGCCAAAGCTTTCCTCAACATCTTTTTCGCTAAGGGTTCGCACTGAAACTATTGCATTGCTAAATTATATTCACACCTGTACTTTTAATTGGTAAGCATCAGCACTGACCAGGCAGAGAAGCTCTGGGTATCTGGAACAGGGCTGGGCATGCACTGGAGACCAAAGGGCTGTCAACTGCCTTTTGAAGCTTTTGTGCACACTATTTTGGGATTTACGTTTAACTGACTTTCAAGCTAAGAAATAATGCCCAATCTACCCCAAATTAGAATTTCCATCCCCAGTGCATAATAACAATTTTTAAACTAAAAAACTATATCCTCTCATTCAATTCCTTGTCTGTTCCATCGTCTTGGGCCGTTCCTGGGTCATTTTCCAATTCGGTTTGTCTATTATTCGGAGGTTCCAAATGCTTGCTCGAAGAGCCAAGTTTTTACTCTTTTCCAAAAGATCAGGAGGGAGGGGGCTGATCTAATATCCCTAGGCAAGGAGTTCCACAGCCGAGGGGCCACCACAGAGAAGGCTCTGTCTCTCGTCCCTGCCAGATGTGCTTGCGAAGCAGGTGGGATCGAGAGCAGGGCCTTCCTGGAGGGTTCGTAGGAAGAGATGCATTCAGATAGATAAGCTGGGCCGGAACCGTTTAGGGCTTTGTAGGCTAAAGCCAGCACTTTGAATTGAGCCCAGTAGCAAACTGGCAGCCAGTGGAGCTGATGCAGCAGAGGAGTTGTATGCTCCCTGAGCGCCGCTCCTGGTTTAGCCTTACTGGGAAGTAGGGGGATTGAAATTTCAAACCCAAGTGAAATGGGGTTGCTGTAAACATTTCTTAAGATACACTAGTACAATAACATGCAAGAGTAAAATGAAACTATATAGGGACAAATAAGAGGTGTCAACCTTATACAGGAAGGAAAACAAAGATGGCTCTAATTTCTAATTTTGTAATCAGCAATAATATAGAAACCTGGGGAAATAATGTTAAAAAATGGACCAAGTGAATGTTTTGTTATTTGTTTACGGCATTTGTTTACAGCATTTATATTCTGCCCTTCTCACCCCGAAGGGGACTCTGGGCAGATCGGAGAACACATACACGACAAACATTCAGCACCGTTAAACAGACAAAACAAACAACAGATAGAGGTATTATGTCAGCAATTTTCCCAACTTCTCAGCTCACCGCTGTTTTCAAGCTGCTTAGGTGGACAGTAAGCTGGGCTGAGGGTCAGGTGCTCATCCTGACCCAGGCTTCGAACTTCCAGCCTTCCAATTGGTAAGATCTATCACTGCTGATGATTAACCATCTGTGCTAAAGCCCAGCCCTTGCTGCCTTTGGTTTCCCAGCTCATTCTTCAAAAAAATAATTAAAAATTAATAGAAAAAAACCACAAAAAAGAGGAAAAAACCCACAATACTTATGTGTACATAAACATCCCGTGGTGCACATTCTTATTTTATTTCATTTTCTGTATTGTTTGCCTATTAATTTGCTTTCTCTGTGTTTTCATTTGATATTGAAGTGGATATAGATCCATCTTATTAGGACGACTGACCACTGTAGTTTTATATTTAGTGTTTTTAAAGTTGTTTTGTAATTTGTGATATATGATATTTTAATGAATGTATATGTTTTTATGGCTGTAAACCGGGCTGAGTCCCTCGACGAGGTTGAGAAGCTCGGTATACAAAACTGTGAAATAAATAAATAAATAAATAAATAAATAAATAAATAAATAAATATTATAATTTGCTGTATGTATTTTTGCTGCATGTATTTTATTTTGATTTGTTGTAATTGTTGGGCTTAGCCTCATGTTAGCTACCCCGAGTCCCTGCTGCGGAGATGGTGGCGAGGTATAAATAAAGTTTTATAATTTACTAGCTGTCCCCTGCCACGCGTTGCTGTGGCCCACTCTGGTGGTCATGGGGGTTCTGTGTGAGAGGTTTGGCCCAATTCTATCATTGGTGGGATTCAGAATGCTCTGTGATTGTAGGTAAACTATAAATCCCAGCAACTACAACTCCCGAATGTGAAGATTCTATTTTCCCCAAACTCTACCAGTGTTCACATTTGGGCATATTGAGTATTCGTGTAGAGTTTGGTCCAGATCCATCATTGTTTGAGTCCACAGTGATCTCTGGATGTAGGTGAACTACAACTCCAAAACCAAAGGACACTGCCCACCAAACCCTTCCAGTATTTTCTGTTGGTCATTGGAGAACTGTGTGCCAAGTTTGGTTCAATTCCATTGTTGGTGGGGTTCAGAATGCTCTTTGATTCTAGGTGAATTATAAATCCCAGCAACTACAACTCCCAAAGGACGAAATCAATTTTTTTGAGTGAAGGACATACATTGAGTTGTTAGGTGTCTTGTGTCCAAATTTGATATCAATTCGTCCAGTGGTTTTTGAGTTCTGTGAATCCCACAAACGAACATTACATTTGTCAAATGTAAAAAAAGCCAAGTCAAAAAAGAAGCACCATTAAAGCCTTGGCAGACCGTGCAAAAAGAATCTGCGAACCCCACCTCCTCCAAGATGAACTGAACCACCTCAACTGGGCTCTCCAGGCCAATGGATACTCCACCTCAGACATCAGAAGAGCTGCAAGACCAAGAACAAGCCACGAGAGTAAAGATGAAGATCCACCCAGAGGAAAAGTGTTCCTGCCATACATCAAGGGAACCACTGATCGCATAGGGAAGCTGATGAGGAAACACAACATACAAACAATCTACAGACCCACCAAGAAAATCCAACAAATGCTACGTTCAGCAAAGGACAAGAGGGATCCTCTCACTTCTGCAGGAGTCTACCGTATACCATGCAGCTGTGGACAAGTCTACATAGGGACCACCAAACGCAGCGCCCAAAAACACATCAAGGAACATGAAAGGCACTGCAGACTACTTCAACCAGAGAAGTCAGCCATAGCAGAGCACCTGATGAACCAGCCTGGACACAGCATATTATTTGAGAACACAGAAATGCTGGACCACACCAACAACCACCATGTCAGACTACACAGAGAAGCCATTGAAATCCACAATCATGTGGACAATTTCAACAGAAAGGAAGAGACCATGAAAATGAACAAAATCTGGCTACCAGTATTAAAAAACTCTAAAATTATAACAGCTAAACAACAGAGAGGAAAAAACCAGGCACAGCTTAACACCTCCCAGCAACAGATTTTCCCAGGCTCAGGCAGGCCTTCAAATGCTAATGAAGGTGATCAGCTAAACATTCACACCTAACTGCAGCAGAAGAGTCCTTTGTCCCACCCTGGTCATTCCACAGATATATAAACCCATTTTTCCTACTTCCAACAGACTTCACTACCTCTGAGGATGCTTGCCATAGATGCAGGCGAAACGTCAGGAGAAATGCCTCTAGAACATGGCCTATAGCCCGAAAAAACCCACAAGAACCTAGTGAACATTACATTTTTATTTATATTGATTATTATGTTGCATAACAACTAAACAACATACATCTCTAATTACATATACCTCTGGAACTACCAACATAAGTAAAGGTAAAGATTTCCCCTTGACATTAAGTCTAGTCATGTATTACTCTGGAGGGTGGTGCTCATCTCCGGCGTTGTCCATAGACACTCCAAAGTCATGTGGCCGGCATGACTGCATGGAGCGCCGTTACCGTCCCGCTGGAGTGGTACATATTGATCTACTCAGGTTAGCAGAAACTGGTGCTCACAACCGGAGGTCACCGTGCTTCCCAGAATCAGACCGCTGACCTTTTGGTCAGCAAGTTCAGCAGCTCAGCGGTTTAATTGCAGTGCCACCAGAGGCGCAAAGAGAAAGTGAACTTCCTCCTTCTCTTTCCAGTTTCTCTAAAATTAAACATTTTTTCTTCCACTTTATAGCCAACAAGTTGTTTATTTCTGCTTGTTTAAACCTTAACAGGTGAATAGCCCAATGTTTTATGTCTCCAAACCTGTTCATAAAATATTTCACTCACATATTGCCAAAGTAGTTTCTAAGAATATGTCCAGTAACTTATCCTTTAACAGCACTGTTAACTTTCCCCCTCATTTTGCTGTATGTGCAAAACCATTCCAGAAGCAGAAGTATTTTGCGTATGTTCATACTCTGTTGACTCCTATCCATAATTGACATTTTCACCCATTTATGACTCTAGGCCAGCAAACTGAAGCGCCATAATCGCTCACATACAGGAGAACGCCCTTACAACTGTACTCTCTGTAGCTATGCAAGCAGAGACACTTACAAGCTGAAACGGCATATGCTAACCCATTCCGGTAAGTATTTAAACTGTGATGACTGTCATTAAAATATTTTGTTTGTGCAGTGCTTGTTCACGTCAGACTTTGTTGCACCATTGAGAGGAAAGAGCACGGAAAAAACATTTAGCAGCAGTTGGCACTGAACTTTGATCATTCCCTGGAATAGCAGATGATGAATTCTAACAAAAGTTAAAACAAGAAACATGGGAAAGGGTATCCCTATTCTCAAGGGAGTCCTAAGGTTTATCATCAAGTGGATTGTTGTAGGTTTTTTCTGTTGGAACTAGGAAAATGGGTTTATATATCTGTGGAAAGACCAGGGTAGGACAGTTGTCTGCTGGAGCTAGGTGTGAATGTTTCAACTGACCACCTTGATTAGCATATAATGGCCTGACAGTGCCTGGAGCAAACTTTTGTTGAGAGGTGATTAGATGTCCCTGATTGTTTTCCCTATACTGTAGAGGAAACAATCAGGGACATCTAATCACCTCTCAACAAAAGATTGCTCCAGGCACTGCCAGGCCATCAAATGCTAATCAAGGTGGTCAGTTGAAACATTCACACCTAGCTCCAGCAGACAAGAGTCCTTTGTCCCACCCTGGTCATTCCACAGATATATAAACCCATTTTCCTAGTTCCAACAGACCTCACTACCTCTGAGGATGCTTGCCATAGATGCAGGTGAAACATCAGGAGATAATGCCTCTAGAACATGGCCATATAGTCCAAAAAAACCTACAACAACCCAGTGATTCCGGCCATGAAAGCCTTCGACAATGATGATGATACATTTATCATCAAGTGTTTATGCAGTGGGTTAAACTCTTGTGCCGGCAGGACTGAAGACTGACAGGTTGCAGGTTTGAATCCGGGGAGACTGCAGATGAGCTCCCTCTGTCAGCACCAGCTCCCCATGCGGGGACATGAGAGAAGCCTCCCACAAGGATAGTAAAACAACAAAATATCCGGGCGTCCCCTGGGGAATGTCCTTGCAGACGGCCAATTTTCTCACACCAGAAGCAACTTGCAGTTTCTCAAGTCACTTCTGACATGAGAAAAAAAAATAATCAAGTCAGTGTTGACTTATGGCTACCTTGTGAATGACAGGCTTCCAAGAGCCATGATCATCACCTACCCTGCTCAGGTCTTGCAAACTCAAGGCTGCATTCAATCCACTTGTAGTGCAATGTTCCTATTTTTCCTGCTGCCTTCCATTTTACTGAACATTACAGGTTGAGCATCCTCTATACAAAATTCTTGGGACCAGAAGAGTTTCCAGTTTCAGATTCCCACCACAAATTTTGGAATATTTGCATATACATCATGAGATATCTTGGAGGTAGCACTCAAGTGTAAATGCAAAATCAGTTTATGTTTTATGTACATCTTATACACACAAAACCTAAAGGACATTATAGACACAATCTTCTAAATAATTTTGTGCATGAAACAGGTAGTGTACATTGACCCTTCAGAAAGCAAAAGTTTACCCACGTCTTTGGGTTAATTCTTTTACTAAAATGACTAGAATTAAACAGGAGTATATGGGATAGATTTCTGTCCTACTTTAATATGCTACTTACCACCTGCTAAGAGCCCCCCTAAAACTATTTTGACCATCCATGTGGACAATTTTGGATTTTGAAGCATTTTAGATTTAGTGTGTTTTCGAAGGCTTTCATGGCCGTAATCACTGGATTGCTGTGAGTTTTCCGGGCTGTACGGCCATGTTCCAGACTCATTCTCTCCTGACAATTTGCCCAATTTGTCCTCAGAGGTTGCCTGCGATAGATGTGGGCAAAACGTCAGGAGAGAATGCTTCTGGAACATGGTCATACAGCCTGGAAAACTCACAGCACACCATTTTAAATATCCAAATAAGATATACTCAACTTGTATCATAACTGCCTCTGTTTAGCTGGAATTTTTTTAGGAGCATCAGCATTGGGAGGATGATGAAGGAGGGGTTGGGAAACATATATGTTCAGTAAACAATGCAATAAGCAGAGCATGAGGTGGCCATCAAAATGGGTATCATAAGAAAAGTGGAAACTGATGAAAGAAAATGTCATTCAGAAAAAGAGATCGTTCTTTTTTTACATGTAAGAGAAGGTACAATATTTACCATATATACTTGAGTATAAGCCGACCCGAATATAAACTGAGACAACTAATGTTTCCACAAAAACTGGGAAAATGTATTGACTCGAATATAAGCCGAGGGTGGGAAATGCAGCAGCTACGGGTAAATTTCAAAATAAAAACAGATACCAATAAAATTACATTAATTGAGGCATTAGAAGGTTAAATGTTTTTGAATATTTACATAACACTGTAATTTAAGATAAGACTGTCCAAGCTTCTTCAATGTAAATGTGCTTATGTATCCTTCCAATAGTAATAGATAGATAGTTAGATAGATAGATAAATTTTATTATGATCCAGAGACCCTTATTACAAGTTATACAGGTAATGAGATTAAGAACATCTAGTGGATAAAATTTGCAAAGAGTAAAAGCTGCTTAAAATAAATGTTGGCTAAAAACAAGGGTAAAAAGCTACACAGGGTCTACTAAGGGTTATCTCCTAGAATACTACGGGCTGGGCAAATAAATGGGTCGACAGCCACTTTAGTAATTATATCTCTACCTTCGATCTGATCCTTCTACAGGAAACTTGGGCCATGGATAACAATAATAATAAGAGTAACATAATAAATGTAATAATAATAATAATAATAATAATAGAGTAAAATAATGGAAATGTAATCATAACAGTAATATTAGAGTAAAATAATAAATGTAATAACAATAACTAGATTAAAATAATAAATGTAATAATAACAATAATAAATAGAGTAAAATAATACATGCAATAATAACAATAATAAAGTAAAATAATAATGTAGTAAAAATAGAGTAAAATGATAAATGTATAATAATAATAAAGAGTTAAATAATACATGTAATAAAATAATAATAACAGAGTAAAATAATAAATAACCTTGACCCGAGTATAAGCCGAGAGGAACATTTTCAGTCTATAAAAAGGGCTGAAAAACTAGGCTTATACTCAAGTATATACAGTATATTGACATGTGAATACATTTACCCAAGTTTTTTGAGTTGGTTATTTTACTAAAATGACTAGAATTAGACAGGAGTATATGGGGTAGGTTTCCATCCTATTTTAATACACCACTTACTACCTGCTAAGAGCCCCCCTGAATAAAAAGATCTTTGTTTGATGATAGAAAAGTCAAAAGAGCTCATGTAGTTTCCCTTAGAAAGGAATTTCATGTGCTGGGATCAACTACCAAAAAGACCCTTATAGCACCTTCAGAAACCAAGTGTGTTTCAGAAAGTTGCAGGGCTGAGAAAAGGCCTTTCCCATTGATTTCAAAACCTTGGCATGCTCATATAGGAGAATGTTGTTCTTCAGATGGCCAGGAACCAAGTTGCATGACAAAAGAGGATGAAAAGATTTCATCATGTTCAGTCTGAGCCTGAGCTGTAGACAAAACAGTAATAAAATCTCAAAGGAATCATATTTCTTGGGATGCAATAGATGAGAGATTATGTAAGTGATGTTTACCAAAGAAAACAGACTGTGTTTTGCGCATATTTAACTGTGCCACCATTTCCAGTAATGACTTTAGACTTCTAATATGCATCTTAATCTCTCTTTCTTTGTCATTTTAGGTGAAAAACCCTTTGAGTGCCTGATCTGTAAGGCCAGGTTCACGCAGGCTGGAACTCTGAAGTTCCACAAATTGCACAAACATGGAACGAATGTGCCGAAATATCAGTGTCCACACTGTAACACGGCTGTTGCCAGGAAGGGCGATTTAAGTAAGTTCCATTTTGGCCTTTTTTGACCTTATCACAAAGTCCAGGTTTGCCATAAGTGAAAAATAACTTGAAGGTACACAGCAATAACAACAGCTTTTGTGTGTGTGTGTGTGTGTGTGTGTGTCAGGAGCAACTTCTCTCACACCAGAAGCGACTTGCAGTTTCTCAAGTCGCTCCTGACACGACAAAAAAAAAAGGAGTAACTTGAGAAACTGCAAGTCGTTTATGGTTTGAGAGAATTGGCTGTCTGCAAGGACGTTGCCCAGGGGACCCTGGATATTTTATCATCCTGTGAGAGGCTTCTCTCATGTTCCCGCATGGGAAGCTGGAGCTGACAGACAGGAGCTCACCCTGCTCCCTGGATTCGAACCGCTGACCTTTCAGTCAGCAGTCCTGCCGGCACAAGAGTTTAACCCCTTGTGCCATCAGGGGCTCCAATAACAACAGCTAGAAAGTTACCACTTATTTGATCATGTCTTCTTTCTCCTTGCAATCACCAGTGGCTAAGTGTAGCTGGATCCAATATTCAGTATTGTGATCTCATTTAATCGTAGTACGTATGTGCTGGCGTGCATTGATAAATGCCTGGGGGAGAAGAGAACTGAAAACAACAACAATTTTATTGCTTACTTGCCTGTCCTTACTTGTAGGGCACAACATAGTTAAAACACTTTGTCATAAAATATTATGTAAAATGCATATATTAAAATGTATGCCTATGATATACATAAATTAAAATACACAGAACAAAGATTAAAATATAGCAAACACAGGACATGAGTTTAAAATTCATAGGTACAAATGGACTAGGTAGGTATTGTTGAAGGCTTTCATGGCCAGAATCACTGGTTTGTTCTGTTTTCCAGGCTGTATGGCCATGTTCCAGAAGCATTCTCTCCTGACGTTTTGCCTGCATCTATGGCAGGCATCCTCAGAAGTTGTGAGGTCTTGCAACCTCTGAGGATGCCTGCCATAGATGCAGGTGAAACGTCAGGAGAGAATGCTTCTCGAACATGGCCATACAGCCCAGAAAACACACAACAACCCAGGACTGGGTTCACATGCCAGAAGAAGCAGGTCTTCAATTGTCTCTTAAATTCCGACAGCTGAACTTACAAAGCTAATGTATTTACCGTAATGTATCCTTTTTAATATTGTGCCTTCCTCTTAATATGGGACTCAGGGTGACTCACAATGTAGATTAAAAACAAAATTGAGTTTAAGAAAGTCACTCTGCATTCTGAGGTGGTTTCTAGCCTGCAAATGAGAAATAGAAGAGGCCTGATCTCAAAGGATGGTGTGAAGAGAGAGGAAGATTTTATTGCATTTCTTTTATTGCCTTTGTGTCAAGTCCTTTTAAGACCAATAGAACGCGTGGCCTCCAGACCACCTTAAACAGCACGTAAGCAAACATCTGAAGCAAGGCGCAGACCTGCGACCTGACATTGTCCCTTTTTCTCCTACATGATGTTTTTTTACCGTCTTTGGAAGCTAGTCTGATTGTATTTTGCTTCTTTTATAGCCATAGTGTTGTGTTTTGGATTTTGCTGTATTAAAAAAGGCAACATGATTAGAATCAAAATAGTAAAGCCCAGTTAAAAAACAGCACCAATCTAAAATAGTCTAAAGGCTTTTCAAGGATAACAATAAGAATAACTCCCATTAGGAGATGAATTTTCAGTAACTATTTAATAGCACAAGCCACAGTAAGACCCCCATAACCACAGAACTTGTAGTTTCACTTACATGCATCCAGGGAGGAATAGTCTTTAGGAATTTGCTAAATTTTCCAGGTGATTCTATGGCATACTTTCCTTGGGAAATTATTGTTTTCATTCAATGTTTGGTGTTTTGTTTTATGTCTGTTTTAACAGGCTGTGTTTTTTATTTAATTTTAGTTTGTTATGATTCGTGTTTATATGTTGGGGTGCTTAAATTGTGTTAGTATGGATGTATTGTTGTTGTATTCGGGCATTGAATGTTTGCCCTTTATGTTTGGAATCCGCCCTGAGTCCCTTTGGGGAGAAAGAGTGGAATATAAATAAAGTTATTATTATTATTATTATTATTATTATTATTATTATTATTATTTTATGGAAACAAAAGCACAATATGTCACAGCAAACGGGATCTATATGCTGGATTTCATATCAAAAAATCACATGTCAAACACTTCCCAAGCGTCTAGGACTGTGTGATGTATTTTTAATTGATGCGCGCAGATCCAAGTAAGGTGGCCATTTGTAATTGACAGATCATGATTTTGTCGATGTTTATTGTTTCCAAATGTTTATTGTTTCATTATTATTATTATTATTATTATTATTATTATTATTATTATTATTGGAACTTACCATAGAATACATGTGTCAAACTCAAGGCCCGGCATGTCATTGTATGTGGCCCTCTAGATGCTAAACTACAGCTCCTGTATTCCTATTAGACATCATAACTAGAGCTAATGGGAGTTGTGATACTGTAACATCTGGAAGACTGCAGGTTTTTTTCTGTTTAGTTATTTAAAAACTGCAGTGAGCCTTCAGTTTAGATACAAGGCTTGTGGATATACTGCCTGACTTTAAAACAGTGGTTCTCAACCTGTGGGTTTTGTCCTTCAGCTTCCAGAAATCCTAACAGCTGGTAAACCCACAGGTTGAGAACCACTGCTTTAAAATATCATTTAACCTTTCCCTTGGGTTGCAGTTCCCATTATCCCGAATCCTCATGGCAGATAATAAAAACTGACTGGAGTTGTCATTCAGTAACATCTGGGAACCCAAACTGGGTCAAAACTAAAGAATACCAACCACTATATAAAAAAGAACTATAGTTGGCCCTCTGTGTCCACAGATTCTCCATCCATGGATTCAGGAGCCCTTTGAAGGCTACCTTAAAACTGATTTGACCCTCAGTGAAAATGAGTGACACCCCTACTATAGAGTTTCATTGGAGAAATTTGCACATTCTTAGAGAGGATGCTAGTCTAGTTCCCCCAGTGCAGCTCTCTGTAATGCTAAACATTTGGGAACTGGAGGGAAGTTTTATTTGGGAGGGCAGGACTTTCATTTGGAGGGGCAGTATCCTCATGTGAAGCACCCCCCCCCCAAGAACTACACACCTGTAGCAAGCTTTACTTAAGGATACTTGTCAGCTTATCTTCTAAAACTGGTTGAGAGTTGACATGTTCTTGATAGTATGATAGATCCCAAGCAATCTCCTAAGTGTGTGCTGTGTTGCATCTTCAGTTGATTGCATGCAAGCATATCTAGTAACTTTGCTAACCCACTGTGCCTGACCTCTTCTTCTGCAAGGCTGTTTGGCTTCACTTGCAGTACCTCTGGTAAGAACATGCAGATCCCCAAATTTATTTATTTTCATAATAATAAAGTGAGGTGGCACCACCTTGTGGTCGTTCTGAATTAAATGAATATATGTGACAGAGCAGCCCAAGTTGGTGAAAGTATCTTCTTGGTTGAAATTGAGGAATCCATCAATTTCAATTTCCTGCTTTCAAATGTATTTGTTTGTTTGTTTATAGTATTTGTATCCCACTTTCTCTCCCTCAAGGAGATGCAAAGCAGCTCAATATTAAATTTGCACAATGTATAAATTCAAACTATATTAGTCAGGCAAATTCTAGAGAGAAGATCCACCCGCCAATTGAAAGTAGGGAGCCAGACAAGGAGGAAACAAAGAAGGAGCCTTTGGGGCTGTAGCAAATGAGTCTGAAGATCGCCTGACATAGTAGGACCAGTTACAGTTTCATGTATAAAGCTAAAATGCTTATTGTGTACATCCAGATATGTAAAGTATATAATGAAAATGTGCTCAATATAAGTATATTACTCAAAGAGTAGAGCATTGTTGCTGTCAATTGCTGTCAAGTCAACTTCAACGTATGCTGAGCTGACCCTCTGAATGAGACCACCAAGTCACCCTGTCATCACCAGCCCTGCTCAGGTCATGAAAGCTCAGGGCCATGGCTTCCTTGATTGGATCTTTCCACTTGTGATTTGGTTTAAAATCCAGTGACATAGAATAGTTTGACTTGGGTATTCAATTATTTATATGTACACTTAAGGGTCTTGCCTAGTTCCTTCACAGCTGCCCTTCCAAGTCCTCATCTTTTTTTGCTTTCTTAGATGCAATAGAGAATCCTTAGTTATTTCAGCATCTCCATCACCTATTTTGAAGTTATTTATTTTAAAGTCGAGCCCCCGGTGGCGCAGTGGGTTAAAGCCCTGTGCCGGCAGGACTGAAGACCGACAGGTCACAGGTTCGAATCCGGGGAGAGGTGGATGAGCTCCCTCTATCAGCTCCAGCTCCTCATGCGGGGACATGAGAGAAGCCTCCCACAAGGATGATAAAAAAACATCAAATCATCCGGCCGTCCCCTGGGCAACGTCCTTGCAGACGGCCAATTCTCTCACAACAGGAGCGACTTGCAGTTTCTCAGGTCACTCCTGACACGACAAAAAAAAATTAAAGTTGAGCATATAATTAATTAAAATATAATTTACTCCTGTGCACTGGTGAAAAAGTCTATTGTAGCAATTATAAATAATAATAATAATAATAATAATAATAATAATAATAATAATAATATAAAAATTTGTTAATACGCCGCCACCATCTCCCATAGGGATTTGGGGCAGCTTACAAAATATCACATGATGGTGCCATACAATACATAATACATCTACATATAAAATCAGTGACACAGTTACATAAAACCAGATGTATAAAATTAATGTAAGCAACCTCTATTAAATAAAATTGGTAAAAAGTGGCTACAGCCATTGACTAAAAAGATCCATACCATCAATTTAGCATATTTAGTGTAACAATCAAAATGTAGATATAAAGTGCTAAAGTAATTGGCAATCAGCCTAGCTATTTATTTATTTAGTTGCTTCTTTTCTACTCCGCCTTTCTCAACCTGGGAGGGGACTTAAGGTGGCTTGCAAATGCGGCAAAAAAAAAAAATCAGTGCTGCACAGGTAAACAATAAAAGACATCTCATAAAAATATGCACAATCTAAACCTGTAAGCAATTAACATAACAATCTATTGAACAGATTAAAACCACATATAAAACCCTGAGCTCATATCCAAATTGTTTTCCAAAATCCAAGCTATTGAAGTCTCATTCCATAGTTTTCTGTTCACTAAAAGCCTGCATAAACACAAACATAGCTATTGTATTTCTTGAGCTTGGTGTCCATGTAAACTGGTCCTAGTTCTGAATCCAATATTGAACTGGAAATAAATAAATACATAAATAAAACTTAATTTATATTCCACCCTATCTCCCTGGGGTGGACTTAAGGTGGATTCCAACATATGACAGCAAATATTCAATGCCTCCATAAACAGACAAATATCAATATAATAATCCCAGAGGAATCCCACATATCAAAACAGCGTAAGAGCCTAACATCAATGAATTAAACCCAATGTAATCTAACAAAAATTGTATAGTGGCATAAAATCTGAGCATAAAAACATTCACCTTGATCTATAGAAACCAACTATCGTTCACCAAGTTGTGTGGGTTGGTTGTGTAGCCAGTGATGGTAACTGGGCTAGCATAAAATAGATTGAGTCCAGATACTAAATGGCACTCGATCAGAGGTCCGGTAGTGAAATCTAGAGAAGTGTCCCTTTCTGAAGTGTACCTTTTCTCCCTCTTGAAATAGTACATCAACCCAGGACTCTATGGGTGAGGGTGGGGGATTCCACAGAAAGACTAAAAAAAAGTTGTTCAGTATTTTTTTTTTCTGTAAAGGAAACCTTACATTATGGTACGCCTCTTTCAGGAATCCACTTGCAAAATCTCCACTCTTACATTAAAGTGCCACTGAAGTGCAATTTCTGTGAAGACGCCTTCCATGAGCGGCATGCTTTCAAGCAGCACAAGAAGACACACAGAAATGAAAAAAAATTCAAATGTGATCAGTGCAATTATGCATGCAAACAGGTATTTAAGATGGCCAGGGTCTTGGTTGTTGATTTGATGGGATTAGTAGGGGGCCGGCTTTTCCTTTGATCAACATTTGCTTGTGGCAGATAAACCCCTGTAGAACATTGAGGTTTGCTGGTGCAGATGCCAGACAAGACTTGTGGTGTGTTATTTTGTTGTTACAGCAGAGGTTTTTGCTTTCATTGTCAATGAATGAGAAATGTTCCATTGGAAACCATTAGAATATAGGGCCCTAGACACCCCAGAGGCACCAGACCCTCTCTGATCTTGTAAGCAAAGCAGCGTTAGCCACAATATGTATTTGGATGGGAGACCACCAACAAATACCAGGTGCTATAGGGGATGTTTTTGCACATTTCCAAGAGTGATTTTTGTGAATTTTTAAAAATGCTGTAATATTCTGTAAATTCAGAATGATGGTAGATGTCTTCTTGTTTCATGGTCTATTAAAAAGTAGTTGAATGGGCTTCATCTTTTTGATGAATCAGCTTATATTTTGTGCTTCCTTTATGCATATATTTATGTCTACCCCTGCTGAGCTGCTGAACTTGCTGACCAAAAGGTCAGTGGTGAGCGGGGTGAGCTCCCGCTGTTAGCTCCAGCTTCTGCCAACCTAGCAATTCAAAAACGTGCAAATGTGAGTAGATCAATACATACCACTTCTGCAGAAAGGTAACGGCGCTCCAGGCAGTCATGCTGCCACATGACTTAGGAGGCGTCTGTGGACAACGCCGGCTCTTCAGCTTAGAAATGGAGATGTGCACCATTCTCCAGAGTCAGACACAACTAGACTTAATGTGAGGGGAAAATATTTACCTTTACTATGTGTGTGTACACAAACATGCATAACTAAGGATAACGCTAGTCCTGAAAAAAGACCTTTTGTGCAAAAAACGGGGTGAAAGTAGTCCCTCTTTCTCATCCTGGATTTTACAATTCTCTCAGTAGTTGTAGAATACTCGACAGAAAGTTATTCTTCACCCCTGTGTCGAAAGTCATGTTTGAACTTTGAGAATGAAAACAGGCAAAGTTTTGTTGCCATGCGATAACATGATTGACTAATTTGTATTTTCTAAATGAGATTACTGAAAAAGGATCAGCATCAGAGAATGGTGCATTTGCACTACAAAGTTAAAGCAGTTTCCCAACATTTGAGAAGTAACAAGTCCATCCTATATTATTTCCCCAGGCATCTAATTTATCTGTTAGTGTAAAGTAAAAAAGAATCTCAGGATACCTTAAAGGCTATCTTAAAGCATAGGCTTTTGTAAACTGAATTTTCATGGATTGCCATTATTGCAAGCATATGTTGTAATGTGTGTGTTTATCTTTTAAAGTGCCACCGTGAGCTACACACTTGCTGTACATCTCAAACATTTTCTGCCTCAAAGGTTAAGAGAATCACTGGCCAAATGACTCTTCTAACTCATCTGCAGTTTTATGAGCCAGAGTTCTCCCCTTATATAGCTTAGCTGCTCACATTTATATATGTTGATTCTTTTTTTAAGTGCAGGATCCAAGGAACAGCTAGATTGGAAAGTGCCTTTGGGAATATGTAGCATACTTTCCCATCCTGATTGCACAATTAGAGTGCCAGATTTAGGGTGAGAGGAAATGTTTTCTAGGGTATTGGGATAGAATCTGCCTTTGAAGATGACTCGGAAACTGCAGCTAGTGCAAAGAGCGGCAGCCAGATTATTGACTGGGGTGAGCTTTAGGGAGCATACCACCCCATCCCCTTTTAAAGCAGCTTCACTGGCTCCCAATAAGTGTCTGGGCCCAATTCAAAGTGCAGGTGATTACCTATAAAGCCCTATACGCTTCAGATCCAACCTATCTTCGAAACCACATCTCCTTCTATGAACCAGCACAGGCATTAAGGTCTGCTGGGAAGGCCCTTCTTTCGGTCCCACCACCGTCTCAAGCATAGTTGCTGGGAATGAGAGAGAGAGGGCCTTCTCAGTGGTAGCTCCCCGGGTCTGGAATACCCTTCCTAAAGAAATTAGATTAGCCCCCTCTTTTCATGCCTTCTGGGTCTAAAAACATGGCTCTTCAGACAGGCTTTTGATCCTGAATAATCCATGGCCAATGTGATGAATCATTGATAGTGCTGGCCTGCACTTTGATTGATTGTTATGACAGATAGCCAGCTGGTTGGCTCCACTATGTTTTTGGAATTTTATAATTTTCAATTTTTTATCATTTTTCTTAATGAGATTTTTATGCGCATGTCATTGTATTTATACTTATGTATTGTTGTCTGCATGTGACACTTGGAGTGCTTCTGTAAACCGTCCAGAGTCCTTTTGGGGAGATTATTATTATCTAGCAGAATGGATCCTCTTTTAAAGATAAGTCAAGCCACAGTGGAAGCTGAAGGGTCTTATGCCAGTGCGGTGGTGTCCAGAATACCTTTGATGAGGCTATCCAAGGTGCTGAACCATCTTCATAAAATGGGCCCTAGCACCTTGGAGAGCTCCTTTTAAAAATTGTCAACCTCAGTACCACACAAGCCTTTCCTATGGCTTATTGTTGGGGAGCCACCGTGGTATATTGATTTGTACATTGAACAATGATCCTGAAAGCAGTTTTTGTATAACTACAATACAGCACCATTCTATAAAAATCCCATCTTCAAAGCCTGCTGGAATAAACAGGGCTTTGCTTGCCAAAAGGCAGGATAGTGAAAAGAGGACGTGGAAGGGAGTTTTAGAGACCAGGGCAGGCATGAGCAAACTTCAACCCTCCAGGTGTTTTGGTCTTCAACTACCACAAATTCTAACAGCCAATAGGTTGCCCATGCCTGATCTAGGGGTACCCACCAAGAAGGCCTCTTTGTGAGGGTGGTGGGGTTGGGAGGAGGAGGAATGTTTGGCACTTGACAGATTGATGGACTACCATTTCCATCATTTCTCATTACTGGGTAGTCTTGTGCATTTGTGTAGAATCACTATCAGTTTCAGTTTGTTTCATTCATAAGGCCCTGTTTTCGTTTTTGAGGGCACCTTTCCAAATGACCTTTTCCATTCCGGGTCCAAAAGAACAAAAATTTTGAGCCATTGGCCAACATGGGCGACCTTCCCAGGCTCCCTTTCCCCTCAGTTTTAGGGCTAGAGGGGTGAAAATTGCCACACATCTCCCAAGCCCACCAAGTTTTATAATGTTTGAGTCATCCCCTGATTTTTAGGGATTTTTTTTCTTTCTATAAATAAAATCTCCTTAAAACATTCCTCTCCCCCCTCCCCTTGCTGTCCCCCGCCCCCTCTAACTTCTCCAGAAGTAGCAGCAGCAGGACAGGGAGGGCATAGTATTTTCCTTCCAAATGATGCTCTACACCAGTGGTTCTCAACCTGGGGTCCCCAGATGTTTTTGGCCTACAACTCCCAGAAATCCCAGCCAGTTTACCAGCTGTTAGGATTTCTGGGAGCTGAAGGCCAAAAACATCTGGGGACCCCAGGTTGAGAACCACAGCTCTGCGCACACACACACACCACACACACAGCCCAGTGCCCAGCCCCAGTCACTTCTTCTTTAATTGGTGACAGTGAGGAATTCCTCTTCCCATCATTTTTGGCAATGGCTCTTACCCTCTCCTCCTCCTGCTGCAATGACCTTGGGTCATTGCTGCTGCTGCCTGGCTTACTCTAGAGTAAGAGGCACAAAGGAGTTTTGAATGTTTGCCTCATGTGTATAGTACTCCGCTCTGAGTCCCCCTGGGGAGATAAAGCAGAATATAAATAAAGTGTATTATTGGCCATATCTTCCTCACTACTTTCTTAAATGATGGGTTCTCCACATTTCTGGGATTTTATGTAAGTGCTTGGCTTCATTTTGGTCAACTCTGGTTTCATTCTCCCAATTCCCAGGGACGCCACATGGTTGTGCACAAACGGACCCACACTGGAGAGAAACCCTTTGTTTGCATCTTCTGCAACAAATGCTTTAGACAAAAACAACTTATGGCCATCCACGTCAAGAAATACCACGATTCCAGCTTTCAGCCCAAAGTCTTTGAATGCCCTCAGTGTGGCAAAGAATATTCACGCTGGGTAAGCTGACTTGCTTTGAAGGCTGGATCTACACTGACCATATAATGCAGTTCAAATTGCATTATATGGTGGCAGTGTTGATCCACCCTTAGAGAGCCTTCCAGATTTCTACAATCAAACCTATCCATAATTCGGTGAGTTATGGCCTATAGAAATAATGGTCAAGTTCTAAGTAGGACTCATACATAGGTTTTAGTAGCACCCATAGCACAGATTTGGGATGAGATCCTGCACTGAATGTATCCTGCACTGGATGTGAGATATATAATGGTCCCTTCTCTCCATTAAATGCTGTTTTGTTTTTGTTTTTATCGTGTCAGGAGTGACTTGAGAAACTGCAAGTCGCTTCTGGTGTGAGAGAATTGGCTGTCTGCAAGGACGTTGCCCAGGGGTTGCCCGGATGATTTTTGATGTTTTTATCATCCTTGTGGGAGGCTTCCCTCATGTCCCCACATGAGGAGCTGGAGTTGATAGAGGGAGCTCATCCGCCTCTCGCCGGATTTGAGCCTGTGACCTGTCGGTCTTCAGTCCTGCCGGCACAGGGGTTTAACCCATTGCGCCACTGGGGGCTCCTTATTAAATGCTGTGGGAATAGACCTATAGAGGGGAAAGATATGTTAGGGTCAAATAGGAAAACCCACAACAAATCTTATCAAGAGAAGCCTGTGATGGGTTTACATTAAGGATTGCAATGAGTCAAAAACAGCTTGAAGGCAGAAGGAAGAGTAGAACTGATTAGATCTCAGTCTGGTTTTGGGAGCTGAGCATATGGAAGGAGTTCATGGACAAGTATGACTGAGGGCAGTTCCAGGCAGCAACAAATTGCATGCTTTAGTGGAGGGGGAACTCACAACTAGAGAAGAGGTCCAGATACAGACCTGTTGGTCCCAGGATTTGTGCCTCTATCGTCCACACTTGCTGCTGTGTCATGGAATTTTGCAGTCCCCCAAGATGGCCGCCGTGGGACTTCTGCCAAAAATTTCAGCGGTTTTTTTTAAAAAAGAAAAAACTTAAAATGTGAATGTGCGAATCATTGTTAAGTTCAGTTCCTGGGTTATATAAGCTGCAGGGCCATCTGTGCAGACAGGGTGTTGTTCCTGGGTTATCCATGTCTGTTCCTGATTGCTCTTATTGTTAAAAGATGTACAATGTTGACTACTGGGCCACAACTTTGTCCTGACCAGAAAAAAAAAGTGCCCTCCACACATTTCTTGAAGTTTCTGGCAGACAAACAAAGTTTTCGTGTTCTACTCAATTGTCACCTTATTTTTAGGAACCGACCCATCAGGAACAGACATCTAAAACCCAGGAACAAACCCAGATTAAAAAAAATTGTAATTTCCGAGTGTAGGGACATACAGACATTTGAAGATGCGGATTTTCGGCTCAGAACTGGGATATTCCCGCACCTGAAAAATCTCACGTTTTTTGCCATTTGTAGCGATTGAATCCAACAACCAATTCATCCACTTGGCTAGTATACTGGTCACCTTGATACCTGAATGCTAGACCCTTTCCTCTTTATAAAAGGTCTCTAGAAGCTTTTTAGAACACATAAGTGTTATAACCAGATTAGTAAGTCCTGTTTTGTTTTTAACCTTTGTTCTGAACAGAATAATATGCGTAAACATGCTGCAAGCTGCAAAGGCAAAAGTGTTGTTCAGCCCAGCAAAAGAAGCATGACAAAAAAGAAAGAAGACAAGAGACCAAGCCAGGACGACAAGCAAGAAGGTAATCATTGCAGTGGTTTTAAGTGGCACTTGCAACTTGTACATAGCTGCCATTCCAAAGATAATTAGAACAAGTGTTGTTATGAAAATCTAATACTTCTTGAGTAATAACCAATTGCTCCTGCTTACTCTGTTTGGGTTTTCAGCAAACAGAACTTGAGCAGTCAATTTAATCATAGTGTTAGAAGGTTCACACCCAATGTTTGGAAATAACAAATAACACATTACAGTACTTGTGATAATTTGACTTTCTGTGATTTCATACGTGTGGGTCATCCTGCCACCACACGCAGCTTATGGTGTTAAGCTGAGGGCAGGGCTACCTCATACCACCATTCCAAAGTGGACCCTCTCTTCATTTGAGCTGCCTCCCTATGCTTCACCAGTGTGTTCATAGTTGAGAACACACAGGTGAACACACTTGTGAAAGGGATCTAAGTCAACCAAGCCAGTATAGACTTCGTTTTGGTTTATTTCTCCATAATGCTAATGGGTTAGGTATTCTTAGTTGCACTCCTCAGCTGAGACCTCTCTGACTTGGTTGAACCTGCTGGTAGTTACACTACCGCCAGCACAGCTCTCAGAATCCTTGGAGCAGTTAAGCCCCCCACCCCGACAAGGTGGCACCCATCGGCTCTGGCATAAACCCGTACAGGTGGTCCCAGTGGTCATTGGCGCACTGGGTACCATGCCAAAAGATCTCAGCCGGCATTTGGAAACAATAAACATCGCCAAAATCACGATCTGTCAACTGCAAAAGGTCACCTTACTTGGATCTGTGCGCATAATTCAAAAATACATCACACAGATGCTTGGGAAGTGTTCGACTTGTGATTTTGTGATACGAAATCCAGCATATAGATCTCATTTGCTGTGACATACTGTGTTTTGTGTCAGTATAATAATAATAATAATAATAATAATAATAATAATAATCTGTATTTATATTCTGCCCTATCTCCCTGAAGGGACTCAGGGCAGATTCCAATCATAAAAAGCAAACATTCAATGCCTGAATGTAACAAGCAATAAACAAATAATAATGAAAAATTCCAACCCAACATATAAAAGCTAATTGTAACTTAACAACTAAAATTAAATTGAAAAATGCAACCTATTATGTCAAATATGAAACAAAACAAAACATCAAACAAAAGCGTCAGTTTCCCGGAACCAACAGGGTTGATGCAACCTTGATACAACCTGCCAGTTTGTGTTGCACCATGATGCAGAGTATAGTGTTTGGCACTGCTGTGTGTTGCAGACTCCTTCCCGCCTCCCTGCTGGCTTTGGGAGTCCCTGTGAAGACTCCAGTCAGGTTTGCTTTAATGTCCAGCACATGGGATCAGGTCTGAGCTCCTGGTCAGTGTCAATCAGGCATGGGCAAACTTTGGCCTTCCAGGTGTTCTGGACTTCAACTCCCACAATTTTAGGAATTGTGGGAGTTGAAGTCCAGAACTCCTGGAGGACCAAAGTTTGCCCGTTCCTGGTGTAGATGGGGCCAAAGGCAGCCTATTCCAATTTTGCATAGAAAGTTTTTCCTAATATTTAGGTGGGATCTGTTTTCCTGTAGTTTGAGTCCATTGCTCCATGCCCTAGTCTCTGGAGTAGCCGAAAACAAGTTTGCTCCATCTAACATGACATCCTTTCAAATATTTAAACAGCGCTATCATGTCACCTCTTAACCTTCCCTTTGGCAGGCTAAACATACCCAGATCCCTAAGCTGCTCTTCAGAGGGCATGGCTTCCAGAACAACACTTCCCACAGATCTCTAAATGTGCTTGTTCCAAGCTAGATGGCAAAGCTCTTGCAAAAAATGTATCCACATTGTGATTTCTCAACTTAGTTGAGCACCTGAGGGAAGTGTACACTGAGCTCAAAGAAGCAATAATCCTGGAGTTGGGAGAAGACTGGATTTCGTTGTCTTCTCCTGGTGAAAAGCACAACTGCATGTTATTCAAGAGAGTTGTTTTGTGTGCTGTCCCACTTATTCTCTGTGTTTATGGGTAGATCAGGGCCAACGGATCAGAAGAAAGATGGAATAAAATAAAGTAAATAATAACACTCCACAATTCTCTCTCTCCTCAAGTGGCAACTTGTGTGAACTCTCAGTTCAGTGCTTCGTACGCCGTTCCTGCTGGAGTTTGGGGAAAAGAAGATGGGAAGGAGGGAATTAATTGTGAGATGATCTTCAACCTACTGGACAAATAGTATGGATGACACCCATTACTTCTATGTCCAAAGCGGCAGCCTCAACTGTATCGAAGCAAGTTTATTATGAGTTTCTCTATAATTTTATTTGCAGGTTAAACGTTGCTAAAGAGGGCATTAATTTTGGCATTTTTCCTGCAAGAGCAGGGCAGTTTCATTGTTTCTTGCAAACAGCTTCTATGGATGTTAAACAGTTGGAATTGTTTCAAATAACTTTGCTTCTCTTGCCAAGGGCAAGTCAGTCCTGAGTAAACTGTTGGATTCCAGATCGATTCCATTGTCTTCAGCCGAGCTAAACTTGAGCTAAAGAGAGCTGAAGCAAATGTGTGATTTGAATTTATTCATCAATGGCATTGATCCAGACTTATTTAGTAAGTGTGCCTAGAGATAGATTTCGTTTTCTCTCCCCAAAGAATGGCTCTGAGAGACATTGTAATCTGGGTAACGTGTGCTTCAATTTGTTTCCAAATCAAACAGATTTAAAAGCTTTTGAAGACCTAAAATACATGTGAGTTTAACTGTGTTGTGAATGTGTTTCTTTAATGTCAGTTCTTGTCTGTATGTAGGGCGTTTGGTCTAACTACCTTAAGTAAAACAATAGAAAGTGGTGGACTCAGATACAGCACAGATTAAATTGTGGACTGACAGGCATATTTTTGCCACCTTCTAAAATTACTGTATTTCAAACTCATTTAAAATCATCAAAATGAAATATAAGAGTTTACAGCATTTATTTATTTATTTACAGTATTTATATTCTGCCCTTCTCACCCTGAAGAGAATTCAGTGCAGATCACAATGCACACATACACGGCAAACATTCAATGACATTTATAGACAAACAGGTATTTTTGGCATTTCAACTTCGGCACCTGGAGGTTATGCTCAATTATGGCCACAGGGGGTGCTGTTGCTTCAGCTACTATGACACCGAGTCATTTTGATCGTATTTCCTCGTATTTAGTCAGTTTGGTTTCATTTAAGAAGATGTGATTTAGTATGTATTTTAACATTTTGTATGTATTTTAACACTGTAATTTCACCAACACAAAACGTTATTTTTTACA